TATGGTGTTATTTAAAATCACAGGTCTATGTCAACAAGCCCACAACCACGTGTGCTTTAAAGGAGGAGATTTAACGTTGCTTCAAAGAAATTCGGCCACATTTATGCAGAATAGTTATGGAAAATTTCCACAAACAAGTGCGTATGTGTACGGAATGCCGTAGAGGCATTTTACCCGATGTGTTATTTCATAAGTAACCCTCTTTTATACTTTATGATTTAATAAAAAAATTACAATCATAAAACTAAAAACGGTGTTTTTTATTTAATTCAAATCTAGCGTTAATTTTGGGACACCCTTCTTAAAAAAATTTATTATTCAATAGTTATAGAGTAGAACCACTACAAACCGGACAGTGCTCAAAAGCGGACACTTAAGTTAAAATTAATTTATCTTATTATTTTTTTAAAACTGACTGAATTTTTTTCATTTGGGTTTTTTAAGTTTTCACACTTTCGTGTTAATCAACTTTATACTTTTACACATATGTACACAAAGTAACCACAAAAGTGCATCATTTTTTCAATTTCAAAAATCTCTATAAATCTGTAACTGAATTGAACTTACTAAACTTAAAATAGCAAAAAATAAAACAAACGAGAAGCCTTACACTGAGGAGACATAATACGCGCATTAGATAAGATTGAAAATGGCGAGTTGAGCTTAAGATTTGCAGTTCAATTCTACCGCAAACCAAAATCAACGTTATCCAACCAAAAATCAAATATGACTTTAGTAGTTGGTTGTGCCAATAAAACAAAATTGAGCCCTTTTATTAACTTAACCTTGGTTTGCCTTCTTCAGATGCTTGGCAATTGGGGCTTTGGTTGATGATTAGATCAAGTTCAAAGTTTAGTGAGAGACTATTTAATTGAAAATGATGAAACGTGTTTGTTCAAAAATGGAACGTCTGGTCGCAAATGGTACACACAAATTTATGAGTTGATGGCACTCAGAACTAAGCGAAAGAACAGCTACAAAAAGAGAGCAGGGTAATGCACACCAGAAATTATTGCCCGTTATTTTGATGTTTCGAAAAAACATTTTGATTTAACAAAATTAGATTTTAATAAAGCCATGCATTGGTGGAATTGTGATGAAACTGGTTCCAATGGTGACAAAGGCAATGCGAAAGTAATTACCAGAAAAGATGCAAAGTGTCCACTAGTATCAACTGGAAATAACGAAAAAATAAACGACACTAATCTTAATTGTACGGCGTTGGCGCAGTGGTTAGAGCGCTTGCATTTTAAGTAGGAGATCCAGGTTCAAAACGAGCTTTGGACATATTTTTGCGTCATGGTAAGGAAGGAGGTGTGAACTTCCTAGTTAAACGGACTTCCGCGGTATTCTGTGACAAGACCGTTAGGTCTTCTTGGGGCACCTAATTAACAAAAAAAAAAGTGTTAATGGTGACGGATTCCTTCTACCACCGTTTGTTGGTTACAAATTAAAGTATCGACTCTATAATGATTCGATTAAAGGAGACCCGCCAAGCATACTTTACACAACATTAACATCTGGATGGATATAAATCACTAAGAAATGTTTGTGTTAAAATTTATAAGATATTTACAAGATAAAAAACAAGTTAACGAAGTAAGAAACTTAAAATATTCCGTTATAAATAAAAGATGCGTTATATCTATTATATATGTAGATTACAGTTGTTACTGATTCCTATCAATTTTTATAAATCCATGCAAAAGTAGAAGGTAAAATAAAAGATCACTAAAAAATATCAAAAGTATATTGTTAAATCTTTAATTGTAAAAGTTACAAAAAGTTAAATCTTTAATTACAATTACAATTAAATTTTTTTATTAATTACAACTTTTACAATTAAAGTTAAATCTTTAATTGTAAAAGTTAATTGTAAGTTACGTTTAAAAAAAAAGTTACTTTGATGAATAAAATCATCAGCAAAATTTTGTAAAACTTTTTTATTCCATAACAATGGTCCACGATAATCAATACAAAATTTAATAAGATTTGTTTGAAAAATGTAAATTTACAAATTATAGAAAGAAATGAATTGGTTTCACATTTAAACATAAAACAAAGAATATTGAAATTATTAAGCTCACATATATTAAAAACTTTTATTTCAAATAATAGAGGCTTGGTAAGAGTGTAACGGTCTTTAAAGTATACAAGACGTGCTATATGCTTCTGCTGACAATAAAGAGATTTAAGTTTATTTTTATTTGTACTATCCCAAGCAAAGTTTGCATAATTTATGTGACAATGAATAAATGAGTGATATAAATCTAGTACGTTTATATAAAACATTTCTTGCTTTGTACAATAATCCTATACTTTTTGAAATTTTACTTGAAAAGTTTTTAATATGATTTTTCTATGTAAGATTTTCATTTATAAAAACACCTAGAAAGTTGGTTAATGTTTTTTTTTAATTTGCATATTGTCAATAACAAGTTGAGCCATGTTAATTGATGTTTTTCGATAAGAGGATGGAAAAGAATCCATTTAGTTTTATCAATGTTAAGAGAAAACTGTTTAGTCTTAAACCCGTGAGACATTTTTATTAACTTGATGTTTGCGTAATGAAATAGTGTAGGAATGCTTTTGTATGTCATAAATAAATTAGTGTCATCAGCAAACAAAATTGTTATTAAATTTGAGGCGTTGTATAGATCATTAATATAAACAAGGAAAAGAAGAGGTCCTAATATGGATCTTTGAGAAACTCCACAGGTAATATTTAACAAATTTGATAAAAAAGCTTTATCGGCGTAATCAAGTTGTTTACGACTGGTTAAATAACTTTTCAACCATTTTATAACATTGCCAGCTATACCATAATGTTTTATTTCTTTTTAGCAAAAAATTATGATCAATTGTATCGAATCAAATTTTTTTTTTTTAATTTTTAAAGTCTCCTTGAACAGAAGTATAGAAGCAACAAAGTTGAGTACACTTATACTCAAATTATTGCTGATTTTATAAATTACTGGGCTCTTTTCATTAAATCAAGACACCATTGACAAATCTAAATTACAAAATTGTCAAACTTTTAATAACACCTTAATAACATCATCAGCAGTTACAAAATTACCACGTAGTTCAAGTTTTTTGCCTCAAACTGCTCAACAATCACAAACCTTAATTCTGCCTGCAACTCCAACTTTAATTCCAACTTTAATTTCTCAAAAAGAATTGGCGAGTTGTGTAAAAATTGGTCTTGAAAGAGCTCTCTTGAAGCAATTTCAACTCCATTTTACTTACAAGCATCCTGCAAAAAAAGTCACGCATGTCAGAACAGTGGCTGGTCAAGCTTTTACAAAAGAAGCATGGTTAAATCAGTTAAGAGAAGAAGACGCAAAGCCATTAAAACTAAAACATGTTGAAATTGCAGCAGCAGAAGTAGAAACTCCTGCCAAGAAAGCAAAAAAAAGTACAAAAAGTGTCCTAAGTTTTTTGAGAATGAAGAGCCAGAGATGTAAGTTTTATGGAAAACTTGTGAAAAATCAAGTTGCAGTTTGTCACTTTGTGAATCTCGTCTAAAGGCGAAGAGTTTTTTTGCACGAAAAGTTGCAGAAACTAGTTAACAAATTTTTAAATTCTATTTCAAGGTCAAGCTTGCTTAGTTTATTTATAATTATTTTTTTCTATTTTTTTCTGTTTGTATTATTATTATATATATATTTTAACATTAAAATAAAAATATTGAATTTATGAATTTATCTATGTTTTTTTTCATATAATTTGGAACTGTCCGCTTTTAGGGACAATTTTCCAAGAAGCGGACACTTTAAGAGTGCCGGTTTGTAGTACTTTTATTCTACTTTTGTGAAGAGTGTCCGGTTTGCGATACTTATACTCTACTTGTTAATTTCGTACTCTTTCCACTTTTTTATTCACTCAACTATTTTATTAATTTGGAAATTAGAAAAGCCTACAAGAAAATTAATATTGGAAAAGATTTACTAACAGGTCTACTCTAAAAACCAAAGTCTAGATCAGACTTTAGTTTAAAAATGGTTACTGCTTTTATATTCAAGAAACCTTATATTAAACGAGATCACCTATCATGTCAAAATATGTAGCTAATAGATAAAAAATCAAATGAAAACAGTTTAGAAAGATTAGTTAAATAAAATAATTACTTTTAAAAGTTCACTTTAAACTAAAATTATCATATTCATATTTGTTATAATTACTATGGAAAAAGAATGCATTTAATATGCAGGGGCGAATCCAGAATTTTTTGGTATTTGAGTTATATAACTTCCAGGTAAGTTCTAAACTCCAAATTTTTGCATTTTCATACTTTAGTAATTTAAGAATGATTTTCCGAAAATTGCGCTGATTAGAGCCTGGGAACAAAAAAACCTTAAAAAGTAAGAATCCCCCGCCCAAATGTGGAGGAATCGGTTTTTCTAAATATAAATTCTAATATCCTAAATTAGATGGTAATATTGTTTAGGTTCTAAATTTTTTTTGAAAAATATTATGTTGTTCAGAAATTATACCCAATTTAAATTTGCAAACCCTCGTTTTGTGAAGACTTTAAACTTTAAATGGCTATAACTTTTTAACGCTAGATGATGATTTAATCAAACTTTAAATATAGGTGCACATTTAAGTTTTATTAAAGGAAGTAACTTATTTTTTTTTAAAATCATTTCCCCTCTCATTTGGGTGGGTGAAGCCTACTATTTAGGGTATTTTTGTTCCCAAGCTCTAATCAACGCAATTTTCGACAAAGCATTATTAAATGACATAAGTATGAGAATAAAAAAGTTTAGAGTTTTGAACTTGTCTGAAAGTTATTTAACTTAAGCACCAAAAAACCCTGGATCCGCCTCTGATTTGGTACACATTTTGAATTCTTATTATATTAAATTACAATCCTTTACTTATTTGTCAATACACTTTATCGGTGTTTCATTTTTTGTTTTGTTCTGTTATTAAAACTGAAACTAATTAAAATAAAACTAATTTGAATTTCTATTTTACGACTAAAAAAATCTCACTTTTAGGATTTTTACGCTCAACTTTATCCATTTCACATATAGTCTCAATTGGAAAGCCATTCGGAATAATTATGAATACTCCTGTTTTAGTGAACCCATTATCATAATGTTCTTGGCAACTTTTCGCAACTCCTGCTGCTAAAAAAACCATATGTATATATATATATATACATATATATATATATATATATATATATATATATATATATATATATATATATATATATATATATATATATATATATATATATATATATATATATATATATATATATATATATATATATATATATATACACACACATATATATATATATACATATACATATGCATATATATACATATATATGTGTATATATATATATAGTATGTATATATATATAGTATATAGTATATATATATACATATATATATATATATTACATATATATATATATATATATATATATATATATATATATATATATATATATATATATATATATATATATATATATATATGTATATATATATATATATATATGTATATATATAATATATAATACATATATATAATATATAGTATATATATATATATATATATATATATATATATATATATATATATATATATATATATATATATATATATATATATATATATATATATATATATATATATATACATGTATATATATATATTTATATATATATGTATATATATATATTTATATATATATGTATATATATAATATATAATACATATATATAATATATAGTATATATATATATATATATATATATATATATATATATATATATATATATATATATAAAATATATATATATATATAATATATAGTATATATATATATATATATATATATATATATATATATATATATATATATATATATAATATGTATATATATAATATATAGTATATATATATAATATATATACATATATATAAACATACATATATATATACATATATATGTGTGTGTGTGTGTATATATATACATATATATATATATATATATATATACACATATATAAATAATACATATATATAATATATAGTATATATATATATATATATATATATATATATATATATATATATATATATATATATATATATATATATATATATATATATATATATATAAAATATATATATAATATATATATATTTATATATAATATATATATATATATATATATATATATATATATATATATATATATATATATATATATATATATATATATATATAATATGTATATATATAATATATAGTATATATATACATATATATAAGCATACATATATATACATATATATGTGTGTGTGTGTGTATATATATATATATATATATATATATATATATATATATATATATATATATATATATATATATATATATATATATATATATTTTATATATATATATATATATACAATGTAACAAAAAAAAAAAATTTTCTGTTTATCAAAATTTTTTGATGTTTCTTAATTAATTTGAGTATGCTGAGTCTGAATATGACATTGGATTTTTTATTGCATCAATCGTTTGGTCGTAAAACCAAAAAATCAATTAAACATATAATTAATATAAATCGTTTTGCATTAGATTCTACTTTAGTCAATATAAAACATTTACTAATTCAAAAGTGTTATGTTATGTTACAAAACTTCATGTTACATCATGTTTCTTACATATATTACATAATGTTACATTATATTGTATTGTAACAGTCTCTCACAATCTCAAAAAACACTAAAAGTGAACAGTAGAACGAGGTTTTCTTTTATGAAGTTTCTCGTCATCGCGTATCAAACACCAGATGTAGTCACCCATCATAGCTGCATCCCATCTGCCCTGGTATCTTTTCTCCATTGCAAGAATATCCTGATGGAAACGTTCCCCGTGCTCTTCACTCACATCACCCAAATTTGGTCTGAAAAATTCCAAGTGTGAATACAGATAATGCAGCTTTATTGACATTCTGCATTTCATATCTGCGTACCGTACAATTAAGTTTTCCACTATCTCTTTGTAGTTATCACTCTTATTGTTACCTAAAAAGCTATGAACAACATGTCTAAATGCAGTCCATGCTTCTTTTTCAACAGCAGACATTTTGTCCTCAAGCTCCTTACATGCCAACATAACTTTAATCTGTGGACCAACGAATATACCTGCTGAAATTTTTGCATCTGACACCTTTGGAAACATCTGCCGAATATGCTGGAATGCTGCACTATCTGGGTTTAATGCTTTGAAAAATTGTTTGATAAGACCAAGTTTAATGTGAAGGGGTGGTAGTAAGATCTTTTCAACAGGTATCAGAGATTGATTAATAACATTGTGCGAACCAGGCTGTAAATGTTCTCTCACTGGCCACTCACGTCTTGTGAAGTGCTGGTTTGCAGCCCTGCTATCCCATAAACAAAGAAAACACGAGTACTTTGTGTATCCTCCTTGCAGACCGAGAAGAAATGCTAGCATTTTAAAGTCTTCACATACGTCCCACTTGTAACTGTCGTAGTTGATTTTCTCAAGCAACAACTTCACGTTCTTATAGTCTTCCTTTAGATAAACGGAATGAGCTACTGGAATCGAAGGAAATCGGTTTCCGTTATGGAGCAAAACTGCCTTTAGACTTCTTGTTGAGCTGTCAATGAATAATCTCCACTCTTCAGGATTGTGAACAATGCCAATGTCATTGAAAAGACCACGAACGTCATGACAATAGCACAGTGATTCTGATACTACATAAAAGTATGCGAATGTTTCATGTCTTTTTCGGTATTTCGAGGTTCTGCAGCTTGGATCTAATAAATTCCATTCTTTCAAACGTGATGTCAGAAGTTCTGCATTTGATTTAGTGAGACCTAAATCTCGTACTAAGTCATCAAGTTCTTGTTGGTTAGGGAAATGAGGTGAATCATTCGGTTCCCTGAAATCACAGTCATCATTGAGTTCATCCGGTGAGTCTACTTCAGAATGATATGCAGCTGCTTCTTCGGATTGAGGTGGAGTAGGAACAGGCAATTCATCACTGTGTGGAACTGGTCCAATAGAAGATGGTATACTTGGATAAACTAGAGTCAGCCTATCTTTCGGTTTTTTATACTTTGAAATGTCAACAATGCAGAAAAAGCAGTCATCATGATGGTTTGTCGGTTCTCTCCATATTCTCGGAATCGCAAAAGGCATTGACTTTCGGATTCCACGCAGCCATCCTTCCAGAGTTGATCTGCAGCTACCACAACTGTAGTGTGGTGCCCACGATTTGTCCTGATCTCCCATAGCCATGCCAAAATAAGCATGATATGCAGTAAAGAATTTTGTACCACTGACAATCTTATGTTTAGCTTGTGTTGGACTAATATAGTAACCACAAACATAACAGAATGAGTTAGGACAAAGCTTGCAGGATCTACTAGACATATTCACTACTTCATGTAACAGTTGTAATTAGTTAAACTGAAAATAAACACACGAATATAGTTAAAATCAGCATATATATATAATGTTTTAATTGCATTACACATATACGAAAACTCCGAAATATACTTTATGCTTTTTCTCAGGAAATCTTGATGATAGAGAAAAACCAATGGTACCACTGAAATCAGCATACAAAAATTATGTAAGAAACATTAAAAAATTAACACAAACATAAATGTTGTTACATGGTGTATATATATACATATATATATATATATATATATATATATATATATATATATATATATATATATATATATATATATATATATATATATATATATATATATATATATATATATATATATATATATATATATATAACTGTGTTTACAGATAAACAAGTATAAATATATGATGACATCAAGATCAACTATATGGTGAAATTGGCTAATTCTTTGGTAACTAGTTATTTAGTAAATGATAATTATTGAAGTTTAATTGGAGATTTTTTCTTTTAGCCAGTTCCAATAGTTTTGATGTTTTTGAAAGTGATTTTCTGTTATCTTTAACTAAATTCTCTTTAAAATTGCTGATTTTAGTAAACCCTTTTCAATTTAATAACTGTCCTGACTTTTAATGGTTAAAAATTGTTCAGTGGCCAGTTGATCATTTATTTGCATATTTTTCATTGAATGATTTGCTTGTCTTAATCAGGCCTGGATTTACCATTAAGCAAACAAGGCATTTGTCTTGGGCACTAAGCGTTTAGGGGCACCACAAGTCCTCAAGAAATATTTTTTTAAACAAATTTAACTCAACTGAAAATTGAACAAAAAAACTGAAAATTGAGCAAGTGCTATGAAAATATAGAA